TGTTGAAAAAACAGTTTGCTTAGACATAGAAAATACAAGTTTCTAGTGATTTCATAGAACAGAATAGAATAGAATAGAATAGAATCGTAGAGTTGGAATCATAAGAGTTGGAAGAGACCTCAAGGCCCATTAAGTCCAACTTCCTGCCATGCAGGAAAACATAATCAAATCACCCCCCCGATAGATCACCATCTAGCCTCTGTTTAAAAACTTCCAAAGAAGGAGACTCCACCACTCTCCGAGGGAATGTGTTCCACTATTGAACAGCTTTTACTGTCAGGGAGTTGAGGTTGAATCTCTTTTCTTGTAGTCTGAACCCATTGGTCCAGGTCCTATTCTCTGGAGCTGCAGAAAATAAATTTGTTCCATCGTCTGTATGACATCCCTTCAGATATTTAAACAGGGCTATCATATCATCTCTTAACCTTCTCTTCTCCAGGTTAAACATACCCAGCTCCCTAAGTCTCTCCTCATAAGACATGGTTTCCAGATCCTTCACCATTTTAGTTGCCCTCCCTGGACATGCTACAGTTTGTCCACATCCTTTTTGAATTTTGGTGCCCAGAACTGGACGCAGTATTCCAGGTAAGAGCAGTGGCACTCATAGAGTGGCACTATTATTCCCCTCTATACTATACTTCTATTGAGGCAACCTAGAATCACATTGGCTTTTTAAGTTAAACACATACAAAACCATGCTCCAAAACGTTTTGACATGTTTTGTTGATATAATACCTAGGAGACTGAAATCAGATACAAAGAACAAGTTTTTACGTGCATAGTTTGGGAATACCGTAGTATTTGCTCTTATTGGGGAACTTGGGGCTCATTCCCACTTACATTTAACCCAGTTTGCGATTCGCTTTTGCTCTGGGTTGGTGAATCGATTCCAGTTCATGCGTCGTTCCCACTATGGAAGCAGGTCTTTTCTTTATTTGCTTTGTTTTTGGCATGATTGTCATTCCCACTAGTTTGTGCCCCTTCAAAATGCCTGTCAATCATCTACGTGTCATCGGTGATGCAACCGGCAACACGTTCAAGAAAACACAGGAAAGAGTCATGGGTGCCATGGCCAGAATCCCATCCTTCACTAGTATCCCATCCCTCACTAGTTTGGGGGGGGGGGGAAATCCACCATTTCCCCTCTTGCCTTTCCCAGAACCAATCCTACATTCCAACCTTCTGTCCAGGAGGAATTCCAAGACACCCTTCTTTCTGAGCTTGACTAGGAAGCATGTCCTCCAAGTCTTGCAAGGCTGGGAGGGCACCACTTCAGCTCCCCATGTCCTCCAAGTCCCCTGGGATGCATCAGCCATGGGTGTCATATGGCGGACTCTCCCCTGGGATGCATGCAGCCTTGGGTGTCATATGGAGGACTCTCCCCCCTGGGATGCATCAGCCATGGGTGTCATATAGAGGACTCTCTCCTGGAATGCATCAGTCATGGGTGTCATATGGAGGACTCTCTCCTGGGATGCATCAGTCATGGGTGTCATATGGAGGACTCTCCCCTGGGATGCATCAGTCATGGGTGTCATATGGAGGACTCTCCCCTGGGATGCATGCAGCCTTGGGTGTCATATGGAGGACTCTCTCCTGGGATGCCTCAGCCATGGGTGTTATATGGAGGACTCTCCCCGGGTGAGGTGCTGCCCTCCCAGCCTTGCAGGACTTGGAGGACATGGGGAGTTGAAGTGGTGCCCTCCCAGCCATGCAGGACTTGGAGGACATACTTTTTAGTCAAACTCAGAATGGAGGGTGTTTTGGAATTCCTCCTGGACAGAAGGTTGGAATGTAGGATGGGTCTTGGGAAAGGGGAGGGGGGGAATGGCAGATTTCCCCCAAAACTGCTGAAGGATGTGCCAACCCTCTGCCACAGTAATCTCTCCCCTTCAGTTTGATGTGATTCAGGTCCTTTGTTCCCACTTGCTGAACACGCTTGCTAATCGCTTCTTTTCAAAAGAACCACCAAAAAAACAAGTATCAGGAAAGAGCGGTTCTTTTGCAATTGCAATCGCTTCATCTCGATTGAGTGCAGTCAGTTTGAAACTGGTTTCAAACGACAGACATATAACCTGATCAGCAATTTTTTTAAATCATAGTGGGAATGAGGCTTTGGATGCATGCCATAGCCTTTTGTTGCTCAACTGTAGCCTCTGCGTGTTTTTGTAAGAATTATATGTAAAGTTGGTTTAATTGCTTTTTTAGCATGGAACCCTGAGATTCCAAGCCAGCATCCACCGCGACACTGTGTCATTAAATAAGCCTCTGAGTTCAATTGACTATCACACTCCATTCATGAATTTTGAAGAGCTTTTTTAAAAGAACCTTTCAGATATGTTGAAGTCAGCCCAATGTTCAAGACTGCAGTGCTGGATCATGGCCAATGTACTTGTAAGAGACCATTAACTAGCTCTATTATCTAACTATCCTTTCTCTCTATTGTACTAGGCTTCCTTCAGTATTTCCATCATGAATGTATTTTTCTTTAAAGCTTCCTGGAATTGTTACTTATTGCAAGGTTTCTTTGAAACACATGCACACAATTTCAGATGTAAAGTCAACATTATAAATTTAATTCATGCTTATTCTTGATAGGAACACATTTATATTTCTTTCTACATTCAGAGGATGATAATATCCAGATCTGGATGGCTGCTTCTAGGGCACAATGATAAACAACATTGTCCCTCACAGTTAGATGGCAATACCGGAGAACACTCCGTTCAGCAACAAATCAGAAGATTTATATTAAGTAGGAAAGTCATATTAATCTTACCTAGGTAGCACTGATGTCAGAAGCTTATTTGAAATAGAAGGTGGGAAAACAGTAAGGTCGGAAAGAAAGAGGTTGATTACATTTCAGGCCGGGAAAGCAATAATAGTGCGATGATATCAAAAGGGAAGTAAACTCTGTATGTATGTGGATGATTTAGGATATTTTTCTGCTTCTGGATAGAAAACTATATCTACAGTAGTTGACAGAAAATAAAGAATGGAAGGGGTGAGTTGGCTGTGCTTTTTTGTTTGTTTCTTTTTAAGTCAGTAAGCTATTTTATAGTCTAGATGAAATTCAACTTGAAGGATGTATCATAGGATGTTAAAGGCCTGTTCTTAGGAGCTAAATGTAGCAAGGTCTTCAAAATGCCATGAGCTATGAGACTGTCTCATGTTGGTCCTGCCCACAGGCTTTTTCCCCCATGTAACTGACGGGAAAAAATGGAGAAAAGCAGGCATTTGGCTGCAACAAGAAATTCTAAACTTCAGGCCTGAGACACATGCACCTCCTTGGATGGATATTAAAATCAGCATTACATAAGTCCCATTCACACTATGCTATGATTCCAGATTAACTGCCAGAGTTTTGTCCTATGGAATTCTGGGATTTGCAGTTTAAGGGGACATTTAGAATTCCTAGCCAGAGAGCTCTAGTGTCTCACCAAACTATGAGTCCCAGAATTCCATAGGATGGAACCATGGCACTTAAAGTGGACTAATAGTGCTATAATAGTGGGAATGTGTACAGACATAACACTGACTACTAAAGTGAGGATAGTCCAAGCCACTGTATCCCCCATGTACAGATGGGAGAGCTGGATAGTGAAAAATGCTGATAGAAAGAAAATCAATGAATTTGAGATGTGCTGCCGGAGAAGAGTGCCAAAGAAGACAAAGAAATGGGTTCTAGAACAGAAGAAATAGGTTCAAGCCTGAACTGTCCCTGGAAGCCAGGATGAGTAAACTGAGGCTGTTGCACTTTGGTCACATCATGAGGAAAAATGAATCATTAGAAAAGGCAATGATGCTAGGGAAGGTGGAAGGCGGTAGAAAGAGAGGAAGACCATGCACCAGATGGTTCGTCTTGATCAGGGAGGACATGAGTCTGGGCCTGCAGGACCTGCAAGGAGATTGAGGACAGGGGTCTTGGAGATGTCTCAGCCACAGGGTTGCCATGAGTTGAAGTCAACTCGAGGGCAGTTATCAACAACAACAAGTAGGAATAAAGCCCTGGTTAGGAAGTATAACTAGAAACATATACACTTGTCCCTTGCCATTCGCGGATATGCCGTCCACATTTTTGGTCTTTTGCGGATGGCAAATGGCAAGGGACAAAATGGCGCGCATGTGGGAGCACGTGGCCATTCTAACCAATGGGGCTCCAGTATTTGCAGTATTTCCGATTTGCAGGAGGGCCTGGAACAGATCCCCTGTGATCAGAAAGGATGACTGTACTCATTAACAGATGATGTTGGTGTGACTGGTCACCTGTTCTGGACCAGATAGCACAGAAATGTCTTCAAAAGATGTTTGTCTTATAATATGTTCTGTCTTTAACAGAAAAAAGTAAGATTTCAAAAATAAAAATGGAATGTAGGAGGGAAAAAGCCCTGACAACACCAGGTCTCTAGCTACATAGGTCATACTGCTATTACATTTCCTTGATTTGGGAATATGTATACAAACAAATCAGAAATGGCACCAGTACAAGAAGAAAACAGTAGTGGATCTTTAGGAATGGACAATACAAACCAGTTAGTCGCTGTGTAAATTTGTGCAAGTAAATAATTAACAGTTTGGTTAAAGATGACATAAGTATTTAAGAATTCAGCTGAAGATGACAACAAAAGCAACAATGATTCACGGGACAGATTTGTTGGTGTCAGATGTTATGGAGATAGAAAGCAAGAATGTGCTATCAGTACTTCAGTTCTTATCACATTTTATTTGGAAGTGAAGATCTGCAGATGGAACAAAATATATAGTCTTTACTGATAGTTGTCATTTTTACTGCTGAAAATATTATCCCCTGGCCAAAAACATGTGTTGTTGTTGTTGTTGTTGTTGTTGTTGTTGTTGTGTCTTTGTTTCCAACTTATAGCGACCCTAAGGTAAACCTATCATGGGGTTTTCTTGGCAAGATTTGTTCAGATGCTGTTTGGCATTGCTTTCTCTTGAGGCTGAGAGCATGTGATTTGTCCAAGGTCACCCAGTGGGTTTGAAGATCAAGCAGGGAATTGAACCTTGGTCTCCAGAATCATAGTCCAACACTCAAACCGCTACGCCACACTGGCTCTCATATACTAGGTTTGGGTAAATGAGAGCAGTAAATCTGAATTCTACACACTTTTTATCGTAAAACAAAACAAAATCCCAATCCTGCCAAATCTTTCAGGAACAAAGTACATAGACAAATGCACCTGGCTCCTGGTAATGGTCATTACTTGTATAAATTGTTTGGGAAGGTGGAATTTTGCAGGATGTACATCAGTGACAGAGCACATAATTTGCATGCAAAATCCATTGGATTACCCTACTTGTTGACTCACCATACAACAATTGATTCAATTGGTCTACTCTAATTGGGACTCACCAGCAAGATTCCAGTCATACAGCTGCACATTCTTGGCTGGTACATAACTTTATGTCAGGACCTTCGGTATGCCATCTGATTCACTGGGACTGTTGAAACAGTCACTGTGCTTTCCCCATTGCATGATGGGGTCGTAAGCAGCCATACAATTTGAGGTTGAAGGCATTCATGGCTGGCATCCATGGGTTTCTGTGGGCTTTTTGGGTTGTGAGGCCGTGTTCTAGAAGAATTTCTTCCTGATGTTTCACCTGCACCTGTGGCTAGCATCTTCAGAGAACTGTATATCAGATATATGCAATTGTTTGCAAAATGTTGCAAAAAAAGGTGGAGTAGCACAGCTACTATATGACTCTGTGAGTGCTGATTTACACTATGCAAGCACAATGCAGGATCTTGACATAAATAATAATAATAATAATAATAATAATAATAATAATAATAATAATAAAAACACAAGATTAATTAAAACACACATCAACAGACAAGACCCATGTATATTAAAACAATCCACATTTAAAATTTGCAATTTAAAATCATCTGGATAAGCCTGCCAGAAGAGGCTGGTCTTTAATGGTGTCTTAAATTCAGACAGAGTATTCAGCTATCAAATCTCTTCTGGCAGGTCATTCCACAGTCTAGGGGTGGCTGAATTAAACTTTCTCTGGTTGACAGTTGCCAATCTAGTCCTGGCTGACTGGAGTAAATGTCCCCCTGAAGGCCTGAGTGTAGGGGACAGATTGTATGGGAGAAAGTGATCCTGTAGGGGTAGGCAACCTTTCCCCTTTAAGGGCCGAGGGACTTCAACTCCCAGAATTCCAGGAGCTATTGGCCAACATGGGACTATTGGCCAACATGGCTGAGGCTTCTGGGAGCTGAAGTCCCTCGGCCCTTAAAGGGGAAAGGTTGCCTACCCCTGCGTAGGTAACCTGGACCCAAACCATATAGGGCTTTAAAGGTAATAACCAACACTTTGTACTTTGTCCATAAACTAATATGTTTGCACTACAGCTATCATCAGACTTAGCCAGGATGGCCAATGGATAGAGATTCTGTAAGTGGCAGCCCCAAACACCTGAAGGGTACCATGTTGCTTATCGGTGCTCCAGATCAGGGGTAGGCAACCTTTTTGAGCCGGGTGCTGGGTTGCTGTCCTTCAGACAACTGGGGGGCCGAAGCACCAAAAATAAATAAATAAAAAATAAATTAAAATTAAAATTAAAAATTAAAAAAAATTTAAAATATGCATGCACACTCAGAAAAGCCATGGCAAAACCCCTGTGGAGATTTTGCCAAGAAAACCCCAAGAACAAGTAATAACAATAATCAATATCATCATGGTGGGTGGCAGCGGGGGTGGCAGCGGTGGCAGGACCGGCCTGGGGCCTGTCCAAAGGTCTTGGGGGGCCGCATCTGGCCCCTGGGCCTTAGGTTGCCTACGCCTGCTCTAGATGTTCCACTTCTTTTGCCCTACTGAGACAATAGGGGTTGGATATTCATGGTTCACTATGTCAAAAGACAAAAGCTTTACTGTAGATGATAAAAATAATATTGAAATAAGTTGTCCAGGGAGGTTTCCTTTCTCTTCCAACTTTTTTTCCTTCATAGAACCCTGTCCCTGTCTATCCCTAGTTTTAAACTTTCTTCCATTTTTGGCAACCACATGAGTATATTGATCTGGCTGGGCAGATTCAGAGGTCTTTGTACCTCTATTAAAATATTTTTTTTTTAAAAAAGAAAGGTTGCAGTTAAAGACAACTTGTTAGGTTTTGCAATTGATTTTCATGGTAATAGATCTGCAACATGATTGAACAAGGCATTTCTTAATTTATGTTCTGAAAAAGATTTTCTACAAAATAAAGTGAAAGACAAAAGTATTTCACAGGGAATCCTGAGTGTTTAGATAACCTTTATAAATGATAGGACTTTCTCATTGCTTTAACTTCATAGTATGGGTATCAAGAATTATGGCATCCTTCAGAAATTGAGATATAGTATCACTATAACTGAACTATTCAAAACATAAAAAATTACTCAGATAATTCGCTCCTTACAAGATCCCTCCTCACAATCTTGTACACTCTTATCGGAGAATAGTTTAATTCAATGGGACTTACTTCTGAATGAATATATATAGGATTGTGCTGTTAGCTGTAGCAGGGGTAGGCAACCTGTTCCCTTTAAGGGTCGAGGGACTTCAGCTCCCAGAATCCCAGGAGCTATTGGCTGACATGGGACTATTGGCCAACATGGCTGAGGGTTCTGGGAGCTGAAGTCCCTCGGCCCTTAAAGGGGAAAGGTTGCCTACCCCTGGCTGTAAACAGAACTTTAAAAGAATATGATCAGATGAAGCTCTGCTGAATCACATTGAATATGCATCTAGTGTTCTCATCCCACAGTTTCCAATGCCCTTTGGAAGCCCATAAGAAGAACACAAGTGCAATTGCCCCTTCTGCTTATGTTCTCATCATGGGATGATATGCCTCATTGGAGAAGATGATAATGCTTAGTAAACTGGGAAGGCAGTAGGAAAAGACAGAGATAATATTACAGGTGGACTGATTCAATCAATGACGTCATGGCCCTGATTTGCAAGACCTAAGCAGTGCAGTCAACGACCAGGAATTTTGTAGGTCTATCAGTCATAGTGCTCTCATAAGTCTGGTTATGACCTATAAAGTCCTATGTGGCTCAAGTCCAGGTTATTTGTCTCATACACAGGGTTGCCATGAGTTGAGGTTGACTTGAGGGCAGTTAACAAAAACAAACATCTCCCTTTATGAACTGGCCTGGGCTCTGAGATCTTCATGAGACACCCTTCTCTCAGTCCCGCTATCCTTGCAAGCACAGTTGGTGGGAACATGAGAGCAGTCCTTCTTGGGGGCTGTCCTAGACTCTGGAATGCCCTTCACAGGGAGCCCAGAATGACTCCCTCCACATTGCCCTTCCATATCAGGCTAAAACCTTTCTATTCAGATGAGGTTATAAATCAAGGTTTTTAAAGAACACGGCTAAAGGGTGCTGTATTGCTTAAACTGAATTGTTTTTAACAGCTTTTTAATCTTTTAAATTACATTTTATTCTTTCACTGAATGTGAATAGTTTTAATACGGCAAATCATTTAATTCTATTTTAATGCTCTCTTTTTGTATGTTTTAATGCTATTTTTCTTTTATATTGTAAGCTGATTTGAGTCCCTGTTTTGTCTAAAAATGAGAAATAAATAAATATAATAAGGAAAAGGAAAAGGAGAAGAAGTTGACTTGACAGCAAACACCAACAACACTAAATCTATATCCTCTCTAATTAACTGGTATTCAGCAAATACCAACAACACTAAACTTATATCTTCTCTAATTAACTGGTATTCATTTTGCCTCTGATTCTGGGGGCAATTATCCCTCCACCACGGAGTTATGGTTGGAACTGTATCTCAACAAGCAGGGAAATTTGGACCACAGAATAACACCTCCATGTTAACTGAAAATATGGGCACATTGATGGATACTTAGCAATAGCAGTAGCAGCTTCATTTATATACCACTTCATACTGCACTATGCAGTCTCTAAGGCAGCAATTTACAACTGTAAGCTAATTGCCTCCAACAAGCTGGGTACTCATTTTAGCAACCTCAGAAGGATGCAAGCCTGAGTCGAGCCTGAGCCCTGTCTGGTATTGAACTCGCAACCTTGTGGTTTGTGAGTGAGTGGCTGCTATACAGGTATTTAACCACTGTGCCACCAGGGATACTTCTTGTACCAGAAGATGGAATGTGCCACATTGGACTTGTGTGATAAAAATAAATTTTATTATTATTATTATTATTATAAAATAACTGTTGCTATCCATTCAATGTCTCCAGTTCTGCCCTGGCATTCTGTAATGTAAACCTGTGCATATGGGTTTTGCATTGATTGTGCTATATATTCTTTGTCTTGAATAGCAGTGTTGTGCAACTGAATGCACAACCAAATATGCTAGGAAAGGCATAATGTGTGCCCATTTTGTTTTTGCAACCTTTGGCTAAATGCAGATATTATGCAATGGACAGTAATATGTTATTTTAAGTAATGATTTTTTTTATATATAAAGTTTATTAGAATAAAATACAAGTAATGATTTTAATGAGTTTTCCTGCATATAAATGGAAAACAAATTAAAATGGTAGAATGTATCAATTTTTGGCTCTCGTGCCATCTGGCAGTTTCCTGTTGAGTCTGACTCCAGCTCATTTATGTCCTATTCCTTATGTTCTGGCAAGACAAAATGCCTTGGACCCTATCCCAGGAGAAAAGTGGAGAATAAATAAATAAATAAATATTTGGCAGTTGTCCATCTAGCTTCTGTTTTAAAAGCTCCAAGGAAGGAGATACCACCATACTCTAAGGCAGTGTATTCCACTGTCAAACAGCTCTTACCATCAGAAACTTTTTCCTAAAGTTTAGATGGAATCTTCCTTCCCCTCCCCCGGTAGTTTGAATCCATTGCTCTATGTCCAATGCTATAGAATTCTGGGATTTGTAGTTTTGTGAGCTATTTAGCCTTCTCTGTCAGTGAGCTCTGGTGCCACAACAAACTACAAATCCCAGGTTTCCATAGGATGGTCATGACAGTTAAAGCAGTGTCAAACTATTAATTCTGCAGTGTGGCAGCAGCCTCAGCACCAGAAAAGCCTGATTAAATCTTGCCAAGAAAACCCTATG